TTGCCTATGTGTCTTACCTACCAACCTGTCGGTATTGTATACCATTTTGATATTCACTCATACAAGGAAAGTTGTGTATGTAGATGACATCTTTGCTCTTTGGCCTCATGACTCTAGCCACTGTGTGGCTTCATCAGTACAATACAAAGTGGGCCAACAGGCCTGCTGCAGCATTCCTCTTTTCTTATGTTCTTATGTTGTATAAGTGTCTCAATCTTCAGTGGGAATCTAATTCCTTGCTTCCTTTCCTTGATGTTAATATCCACCTTTCAGATACAAGTTTTGGTTTTTCTGTGTAGCACAAGCCTATGTACAGTGGCATATACATTCACTACTGTGATAAATGGCTTGAAAACTGACAAGATGAAGATTGAGACACTTATGGGAATCATTATTAAGAAATGTTTCGCCACACAATGGCTTCTTCAGTCCAATACAAAGTAGAGAGGGGCAACGTTTCACTTTCCAGGAACTTTGTCAAGCTGATACAAACAATGCATGGATGCAGAGGGTATATACAGTAAGGCCCCGCTTTATGGCGTTTTGCCTTACGGCGTTCCGCTAATACGGCGATGTCAAATTATGACCAAAATTTGCTATACGGCAAGCGGTCTTTCAAATACGGCGCCCCCTACCCGGTTTGTTTACATTTTCCGTGACCGCATCTATTATATCGGGAAACTTTCCAAAATTTCAAGTGTTTTAAAGTTACTGCATATTTTATATGTACTCTGATAATTATACTTAAGTGTACCTGTACCTAAATATACTTACACACTGTGTTGGTGTGCAGGTACACATTAAAATCACTAAGTCTCTCTCTACTCATGATGCCAATACTACTTCATAATGATCACTCTTGGGCACACTAAATGCCTTATTTTACATCAATATAGGCATTTTCATTAATACATCTATGATATTTTCCTCAAAATTATATATGAAACCCATTACATAGCATATAAACATGATACATACACTCACAGAATAAAAATTGATGTAAATATGAGATTTGTTTACAAAGCAGCTGTGTAGATAGTGTTGGAAGAATTCCGTTTTCTCTAGTCAAACACTGGGGGATAACTGTAGAAAAATATTCTTTTTGTATGCCTTTATATATAGCAATTCACGACCCTTGTGGGTTTAGTGCTTTTTATTAATAATAATAATAATAATAATATCATGATCATGATCATCATCATGATCATCATCATGATCATCATGATCATCATGATCATCATGATCATCATGATCATTATGATCATCATCATGATCATCATGATCATCATCACCATCAACATCAACATCAACATCAACAATCACTATCTCCTCCTCCAAAAATGGTGTGTTGCTGTTTGTTTATTCTGAACTAACTTGTACACAATGTAAGAGTATTTGTATTGTGAGGTAATTATTATTAAAATAAAAAAATATTGAGGTAAATGTTTTACAAACTCTTACAAATGGACGTGAATGAACTAAAAGTAGACACATATTAATACGCATTTATTTTGCCTTACCAAGTGATCGTCCACTACCTGTTCAGTTTGTGCTCTTACATTGTCTTAATTCTGTATCTCGTTCTCTCTCTCGTTTACTCTTTCATTAACTAGTTGGCTCTCATTGACGATGGCGTCTAAGGTTAGCTGTAATAAAAAGAGAAGTCGTAAGCCTCTTGCTTTAAGTGCCAAGTTAGAGGATGATGGTGTGCCATTCTGATTTTATTCAATAAACACCTTGCCACTCACCTCACACATTAATATTAATATTTTAAGGTAAGTAATAAGTGTACTCTGTGTGTATCATACCTTTTATTGTGTTTTTAATGCCTATTTATATTGCTAACTTAATATAAGTTAGTGTAAACTTGTTGTCTGGCATTTATTGCATATTTTGTGTGTGCTCTGATAATACTTGTGGAGCTGTGTGGTAGCCGGGTGGAGGGACAACATTGTTTTCTCTGCTTAGCCATCAGAAAAAACGTGTATGAATCTGCGTTTGGCCCAGCAACTCCCCCACTCCACTTTTGTTTACAATTTTCGGCATGAATTATTCATTACTTCTACCTTCGTTTATGATGGCATCTAAAGGTAGTTGTTAGAAATGATTAAATTCGGTGAACAAGGCATGTCGATGTTGATAATATGGCTCTGGGCCACAGTGTAGGTAGCCGGTAGGTGTAGCCCAGGTAGGCTACACCTACCGGCTACCTACGCTGACTTTCTACAAATAAATACTACTCACCTCTCTTCCTATATTAAGACTACACATATTTTAAGGTAAATAATGAGTGTACTGTATGTGTATTTTACCTCTCTGGGATGTTTTAAATATCGTATATTAAGTATGAGATGGGGAGCCAGTGCTACTTACACCTGGGCTACCTGCACCTGACTTCCTACAAATAAGTACTACTCACCTCTCTCCCTACATTAAGATTACAAATACTTTAAGATAAGTAATGAATTTACTGTGAACGTATTTTACTTTGTGTGTTTTTAATGCCTAGTTCTATTGCTAACTTAATATAATTTAGTGTAAACTTGTTGTCTGGCATTTTTTTTTTTTTTTTTTTCAACAAGTTGGCCGTCTCCCACCGAGGCAGGGTGACCAAAAAAAGAAAGAAAATCCCCAAAAAGAAAATACTTTCATCATCATTCAACACTTTCACCACACTCACACATTATCACTGTTTTTGCAGAGGTGCTCAGAATACAACAGTTTAGAAGCATACACATATAAAGATACACAACATATCCGGCATTTATATGCATTTATAAATGGAAAAAATGGCGTTCTGCCTTCCAGCGATATCTGCTTTCCAGCGACAGCCTGGAACCTAACCCGCCGTATAAGTGGGGCCCTACTGTATAGGCTTTGAGTGAGGTGTAGTACAAGTAGAGGTAGTAGTAGTTGTAGTTGTTCTTATGTTCTTATACATGTGGTGGGAAAGCTTTGGGTAGGGGTAGTTTTGATAAGGGCCTGCCTTGTATGGTCCAGTAGGCCTTCTGCAGTGTTCCTCCATTCCTATGTTCTTACATACCACGGTTATTTCAACATTTCATGAATGTCAGTTCTCACCTGTTCATATATCTTGATTCATGAACATGACTGATATCACCAATAAGCAAAAGTAAAGGCAACATTTAGGCAACTTTATTTCGGAATAAAGTTGCCTATGTGTCTTACCTACCAACCTGTCGGTATTGTATATCATTTTGATATTCAAGCAAAAGTAAAGCTCAAAATATGATAATTACCTGACCCTTTGTCTGTTTAATCCAGCCACATACACACCACCTGGACCAAACTCACTGATGGCCGGTGCAGCAGACACATTATGTAACGTCACTGATGACTGATCATAGTGATGCCAGGGCGATTAAGGGTTTTTCCAAAACATTATAAATAAAATTATTGGTTTATCGTAGTTTATCATATAGCGTCATTGATTTTCCTTATATAGGCTTATTTGTACTCTGTAATCATATAGGCTGTATAGAAACAAAGGATTTTTCTCTTATGTTGTTGCAGTACTGCCTAATATGGGCCAACAGGCCTGCTGCAGTGTTCCTCCTTTCTTATGTTCTTAGTGTCACCTTCTTTAGAGGCTCTTTGGTGTCACTCCCTAAATGCCCCCCCCCCCCCCTAATGATGCCTCTGACCACCATTACTCTCACACTTGGTTCAAAACTCCCCACGCATTCACTCAACAGTTCCCAAAATCTCTCTCTCTCCTCTACACTTCTCTCTTCTCCAGGTGCATATATGCTTAGTATAACCCACTTTTCACATCCAACCTTTATTTTACTCCACATAATCCTTGAATGAATACATTTATAGTCCCTCTTTTCCTGCCATAACTTATCCTTCAACATTATTGCTACTCCTTCTTTAGCTCTAACTCTATTTGAAACCTCTGACCTAATCCCATTTATTCCTCTCCACTGAAACTCTCCCACCCCCTTCAGCTTTGTTTCACTTAAAGCCAGGACATCCAGCTTCTTCTCATTCATAACATACACAATCATCTCTCTCTTATCATTTGCACAACATCCACGCACATTCAGACTTCCCACTTTGACAATTTTCTTCTTATTCTTTTTAGTAATTGTTACATGAAAAGGGGTTACTAGTCCATTGTTCCCGGCATTTTAGTCGACTTTTACAACATGCATGGCTTACGGAGGAAAGATTCTTATTCCACTTCCCCATGGATATAAAAGGAAAAGTAATAAGACCAAAAATTATTAAGATAAAATCAAAGAAAACTCAGATGAGTGTGTATAAATGAACATGTACGTACATGTATGTGTAGTGTGACCCAAGTGTAAGTAGAAGTAGCAAGACGTACCTGTAATCTTGTATATTTATGAGACAGAGAAAAGACACCAGCAATCCTACCATCATGTAAAACAATTACAGGCTTTTGTTTCACACTCACTTGGCAGGATGGTAGTACCCCACTGGGTGGTTGCTGTCCACCTATCTCCATGGGGAAGTGGAGCAGAATTCTTCCTCTGTAAGCCATGCGTGTCATAAGAGGCGATTAAAATGCCAGGTGCAAGGGACTAGTAATCCCTTCTCCTGTATATATTACTAAATTTAAAAGGAGAAACTTTTGTTTTTCTTTTTGGGCCACCCTGCCTCGGTGGCATACGGCCGGTGCGCTAAAAAAAAAAAAAAGAAGAAAGATTTCAAATGTTTTTAGTGATTAAATTTTGCATTAGATTGGTGCTAAGATATGAAAGAAAAATCTACAGTGTTAGTATGTATTTAAAAATTTAAATAAAATAACATATGCCTTGGAAGGAGCCCTTCATGAAAGTGATTTGATGGGTAGGGTGAGCTACATAAACTTGACTGTGTCAGCCAAGTCTATTATAACATGAGCGCTAGTTAAGGGATTGAAGACAAACCCTGTATCTTTTGAGTTTGGAAGGTCAGTGTCAAGCTTAGCGAAAGTCTGTCCTGTTGTTTTTAATAGTTATATTTTTCAGCATGAAGGTTGATACTTGGGAGTTGAACCTCTGTAGCAGAAAAGGAAATTTTACCAAGACACTTGTATGCCATATCTCCCATCATCCCCTTATCCAGATTCCTTCCACTGATTCTGGTTAGTAACACTAATTTTGCAAATTGTGCATATCAGTTATATGTAAAGCATTTTTTTCTTAATAGTCGTGTTGCTTTATATTAGGTTAATGTCTATTTTTTCACACTGTATTTTTAGTGCTGTAGATTTACAACATTGAGATTACCTCAAATTTTCACCTCCCTGAAGTATGTGGTATTTCATGTTCACAGCAAGCCACTTGTGATTTTTTTTTTTTTAAAGCTCAGGTATTATACCAGCGCTGTATGATCCTGGTGGGTCATATAGCACTCATTATAATAATCAGGTATTAGATGCATAGAAGATGTCTATTTGTGAATATGAGATACTATAAAATATCCATCATTTTTATTGCCTGTTTTACCATCAATTATAAATAGTCCTCTTAGTTAGAAATTTACTTGTGTTTTTATCCTCAAAGTTGTAGTTGAAATATTCCACTACAATATATTTTGCCTGTTCACTTTTTTTAATAGTACATCTCTTGATATAATATGTAGTCTTTAGTTTATCTTGTCAAATTCTTCTCTCTGCTATCATTGTTAAATGGTGAATTACATGCATTTATGGTACAATTTAAAGTTTTTCATATTTACCTGGAGTTTACCTGGAGAGAGTTCCGGGGGTCAACGCTCCCGCGCCCAGTCTGTGGCCAGGCCTCATGGTGGATCAGGGCCAGATCAACCAGGTTGTTACTGCTGGCTGCACGCAATCCAACGTGCGAGCCACAGCCTGGCTGGTCAGGTACCGACTTTAGGCGCTTGTCCAGTGCCTACTTGAAGACAGCCAGGGGTCTATTGGTAATCCCCCTTATGTATGCTGGTTGGCAGTTGAACAGTCTTGGGCCCCTGACACTTATTGTGTTATCTCTTAATGTGCTAGTGACACCCCTGCATTTCACTGGGGGGATGTTGCATTGTCTGCCGAGTCTTTTGCTTTCGTAGGGAGTGATTTTTGTGTGCAAGTTTGGTACTAGTCCCTCTAGGATTTCCCAGGCGTATATAATCATGTATCTCTCCCGCCTGCGTTCCAGGGAGTACAGGTTCAGGAACTTCAAGCGCTCCCAGTAATTGAGGTGTTTTATCTCCGTTATGCATGCTGTGTAGGTTCTCTGTACATTTTCCAGGTCAGCAATTTCACCTGCCTTGAAAGGTGCTGTTAGTGTGCAGCAACATTCCAGCCTAGATAGAACAAGCAACCTGAAGAGTGTCATCATGGGCTTGGCATCCCTAGTTTTGAAGGTTCTCATTTTCTATCCTGTCATTTTTCTAGCAGATGCAATTGATACAATGTTATGGTCCTTGAAGGTGAGATCCTCCGACATGGTCACTCCCAGGTCTTTGACGTTAGTTTTTTGCTCTATTGTGTGGCTGGAATTTGTTTTATACTCTGATGAAGTTTTAATTTCCTCATGTTTACCATACTGGAGTAATTGAAATTTCTCATTGTTGAACTTCATATTATTTTCTGGAGCCCATTGAAAGATTTGGTTGATGTCTGCCTGGAGCTTTGCAGTGTCTGCAATGGAAGACACTGTCATGCAGATTCGGGTGTCATCTGCAAAGGAAGACGCGGTGATGTTTATTTATTTATTTTATGTCTTTGCAAACAGTACGTTGAGATTTTGTATTTACAATAGTGGGTTGCAATGCAAAGAGAGCCTCTATTATGCCTAGGCATTATGGGCCAACTTAACATTATTGGCTTACAGTCTACTTAATACTAAGGAGTATATCATAGTTATACAGTAGGATAGTAATTATTTCATAGTTGTACAGTAGAATATTAATTATAAATGAATCAAAATTTGTATAATACAAAGATATATTTATATTTGAAAATGCTTTTTTGAAAACAATGATTCATTTATATTCCTGTCAACAATGGATAAAAGGTTCAGTGTGATTGTTTCACTTATGATGTGGGAGTACATAGGTGAGTAAGTGTGTGCTGAGTATTTTGCATTTAGTCTAGGGTGATTAAGTGGCTTTTGAGAAGAGTCTTAAATTGATTTTCAGACTGGGTTACTTTAATATCTTCTGGTAATGAATTGCAAATTTTGGGGCCCTTTATGTGCATAGTTTTTACAGTGTGATATGGACACAAGGTATATCAAAAAGAGATCTGTGTCTTGTGTTGTGGTCATGTGTCCTGTTTAGGTTGGTGAGGAGAAGTTTGAGTGGGGGTTTATATTTGCGTGTATTGTTCTGTGTATGTAGTAAGCACATGAATAAGTATGGATGTTAGTAATGGTGAGCAGATTCAGACTTTTGAAAATTGGTGGAGTGTGCTGGCGGGAGTGGGAATTTGTTACCATTCTTACTGCTGCCTTTTGCTGGGTTATTAGGGGTTTTAGGTGATTGGATCAAACCATACCCCGGCCGGGATTGAACCCGCGGTCAGAGAGTCTCAAACTCCAGCCCGTCGCGTTAGCCACTAGACCAGCTAGCCACAATAAGATTCCTCCAACTAGGTATATTTCTACACCATAGGAAGGTTAGCACAGGCACCACTGTGACCACAAATGCAAGTTTTTACAGACGAATCTCCAGCTAGCGTGGCCGTGACGAACTCTAGCTCAAGTCCCTTCACTGCCGTCAACATGACTCACGAAATCGTAATGACACGATTGCAAACAAACCATACCCCGGCCGGAATTGAACCCCTGGTCAGAGAGTCTCAAAACTCCAGCCCGTCGCGTTAGCCACGGCCACGCTAGCTGGAGATTCGTCTGTAAAAACTTGCATTTGTGGTCACAGTGGTGCCTGTGCTAACCTTCCTATGGTGTAGAAATATACCTAGTTGGACGAATCTTATTGTGGCTAGCTGGTCTAGTGGCTAACGCGACGGGCTGGAGTTTTCAGACTCTCTGACCGCGGGTTCAATCCCGGCCGGGGTATGGTTTGTTTGTAATCGTGTTATTACGATTTCATGAGTCATGTTGACGGCAGTGAAGGGACTTGAGCTAGAGTTCGTCACGGCCACGCTAGCTGGAGATTCGTCTGTAAAAACTTGCATTTGTGATCACAGTGGTGCCTGTGCTAACCTTCCTATGGTGTAGAAATATACCTAGTTGGACAAATCTTATTGTGGCTAGCTGGTCTAGTGGCTAACGCGACGGGCTGGAGTTTTGAGACTCTCTGACCGCGGGTTCAGTCCCGGCCGGGGTATGGTTTGTTTGCAATCGTGTCATTACGATTTCGTGAGTCAGGTGATTGGATGTTGTTGATCCCCATGCACAAATTCCGTATGTAAGATAAGGGTATATGAGTGAATGGTACAGTGCCAGGAGAGCTGATTGTAGAACATAGTACCTTATCTTTGATAGTATGCCTACAGTCTTGGAGATTTTCTTGGTGATTTGTTGTATGTATGTCTGGAACTTAAGGCTACTGTCAAGGTGGATACCTAGGAATTTTCCCTCTGTGAGTCTTGTGACTGATGATCCATTTAGTGTAATGTTAATTGGATCACTTGCAGCTTTGTTTCCAAACTGAATGAAATAGGTTTTATCAGTGTTCAGGGTAAGTTTGTTAGTCATCGTCCAGGCAGATATTTTCTGTAATTCAGCATTGACTCTGTTTGCTAGTATGACTGTGTTTGGGTAGGAAAAGACATATGTAGTGTCATCTGCAAATAATATGGGTTTGAATAGCTGTGATGCATTTGGTAGATCATTGATGTAGATGAGAAAGAGGAGTGGTCTAAGGACACTTCCTTGTGGGACTCCTACTGTGATTGGTTGGGTGGAAGAGTTTGCATCATTTGCATACACATATTGAGTTCTGTTACTAAGGTATGACTTTAGGTAGTTGAGGGAGTGGCCTCTGATACCATAGTGCATTAATTTGGAGTACAGCAGTTCATGGTCGACTGTATCGAAAGCTTTATGTAAATCATTGAAAATGCCCAGCGGGACTTCTTTCTTTTCAAGTGCGGTATATATTAGTTCTAGCATATGTATGATAGCATCATTTGTGTTTTTATTATTCATGAATCCAAACTGACAAGGGTTTAATATGTTGTGCGAAACGAGGTAGGAATAGATCCGTCTATGAATTAATTTTTAAGAGATTTTAGAGAGCAGTGGTAAGTTAGATATTGGTCTATAGCTATTCAAGTCAGCTTGGTCACCTCCTTTATGGATCGGAGTGACCCTCACTATTTTGAGGATTGTTGGGAAGGCAGCTGATTCAATGGATTTGTTAAAGAGCATTGCAATAATTGGTGACAATACTCGAGAAGCTTTTTTGTACATAAAAGAGGCAAGCTGTTTATGTCTCCTGCCTTGTTTTTAAGGGTGTTTATGATGAGCATAATTTCAGTGGGGTTGGTTGGAGCTAGGAATAGCGTATTTGGGTAGGTACCTATGAGGTAGTCTGATGGACGGGTGTTTGTGCTTGGTATTTTGTTTGCTAGATTTTTTCCTATGGTGGAGAAGAAAACATTAAGTCTGTTTGCTGTTTCGGTTGGAGTGACATCCTTGTCTGTCAGATATGAGGATGAGAAATAAGATGGGAGCGAGTACTGTACCTTGCAGAACAGAGCTTTTCACCGTAGCCGCCTCAGACTTTACTCTGTTGACTACTACTCTGTGTTCTGTTTGTGAGGAAATTATAGATCCATCTACCAACTTTTCCTTTTATTCCTTCAGCATGCATCTTGTGCGCTATAACGCCATGGTCACACTTGTCGAAGGCTTTTGCAAAGTCTGTGTATATTACATCTGCATTCTTTTTGTCTTCTAGTGCATCTAGGACCTTGTTGTAGTGATCCAGCCACTTGAATTTGAACACATAAAATTTTAATATCTGTAAAATAAATATTTTTCCAATTTGGTTTTTTACAGTGGGCCCTTGATTTTCGTAGATCTTAGTTATCGCTGATTTTGGTTTTGGCCGATTTTCTTCAGCGATTTTTGGCTTTAGTTTTTGTTGATTATCTTAGTTTTCGTCGATCATATGGAACCTGTCCAGTCCCCAGTGCGCAAACAAAGTCCCCTTCTGCATGCATTCTCAGCCAGTGTAATGTTGTTTCTTGGTCAGTGAACATATCCTGCCAGGTCCTACAAAACATTTCATAATAATCCATTATTTTTGCCACTTGTTTATCGTGTGTGACTGCTAAATAAGCGACCATGGCACCAAAGAAAGCTCCTAGTGCCAGTGCTTTTGTAAAGAAAGTGAGGAACACCATAAAACTGAAAAAAGAAATCCTAAGAAAATATGATAGTGGCATACGCATTACTGAACTCGGCAGGATGTACGGGAAGTCGCCATCAACAATCAGCTCCATTGTGGCAAAGAGAAAAGTAATCATGGAAACTGATGTTGTGAAAGGGGTGAAAGCAATAACCAAACAGAGATCCCAGACAATTGAAGAAGTGGAGAAATTATTGGTGTGGATCAGAGAGAAAGAGTTAACAGGAGATAATGTTGTGCAGTCCATTATTTGTGACAAGGCAAGGCAGTTGCATGAGGATCTCATAAAGAAACTGCCTGAAACAAATGGTGATGAAAGTGAATTTAAGGTCAGCAAAGGCTGGTTTGAAAATTTCAAGAAGCGAAGTGGCATACACAGTGTTTTAAGGCACGGTGAGGGTGCCAGTTCAGACAGACAAGCGGATGAAAAATTTGTTGGGGAATTCAAATGTTATGTAGAGTCTGAAAAATTCCAACCCCAACAAGTGTTCAATTGTGATGAAACAGGCCTGTTTTGGAAGAAAATACCAAAGAGGACTTGCATCACGCAAGAGGAAAAGGCACTCCCAGGACACAAGCTTATGAAAGACAGGCTAACTCTCTTGTTGTGTGGTAATGCTAGTGGGGATTTCAAAGTGAAGCCTTTACTGGTGTATCACTCTGAAAATCTCGGAGTGTTCAAGAAAAACAGTGTTGATAAGAGTAAATTGTGTATGATGTGGAAGGCAAACAGTAGGGCATGGGTCACTAGGGAAATTTTCCTGGAATGGTTTAATGAAGTGTTTGGCCCCAGTGTGAAAAAATACCTCCTGGATAAGAAATTGCCACTCCAGTGCCTCCTGTTAACGGACAGCGCTCCTGCTCATCCTCCAGACTTGGAAAACCAATTGTCTAAGAAATTCAGTTTTGTAACAGTGAAGTTTTTGCCTCCTAACACCACTCCTCTCCTTCAGCCTATGGACCAGTAGATCATTGCAAACTTCAAAAAATTGTACACCATAGGAATGTTTCAGAGGTGCTTTGACATAATCTCAGACTCTGAATTGACCCTAAGAGAGTTCTGGATGAATCACTTCTGTGGAGAAATTTTCTCCAGGAGGGGGATATCAGCCCCTTTCAGCCCTGAGGGGCCCAGAAACATCTTGTTTACTGCTACAGCAAGTAATTGATCCCAGCTGCTGTATGAGCATGTGACAATGTCGCGCAGTTCCTTGCAAGAGTCTGATGTTGCAAATAGTTTAATAAGAGACAGTCCATCTCTTACCTTAGCAGGACAATTAAAGAAATCCTGCTCCCACTTTATTACCATGGTAAAGATAGTGTACATTGTTGTCTATGCTTAAGACAACAAGAATCAAGCATTCTGCTTTGCTTCCTAGTGGAAGTTTGGAAAGGTAGCGAAATGTACTAGGTCAGCTTTTCCTTTATGTGCTAGGGGCATTGCAGCGGCGTAGGATGCTGTGAGGTCAGATTACTTTTCACCCTGCTGGGACTCATTCTGATGCCAGGATAACCAACAAAGAACACTGCTCCACACATTAATGTGTAAAAAGTGTCTCACAAAACACAATAAACACTTATAGAGAAGTGTGATAAACTTCTTTAGTGATAAGATTGTGAATAATAATGACAAACTTTGTGGAACATAGTGTACCAGTGTGAGTATTCCTAGACTATGGAAGACGTGGACATTCAAGGACACTTCAGCTTCTGTCAAGTCACCGATACCTGTCGAAGATGTAAAGAACGCCATAGCTCATGCTACAAGAGCAAGGTCGGTTACGAATTTTCTTGTAATACAGGGGACTGCACAGTTCTTGTGTCACAAGGAGTTTGTAACCAACCTATAGTCGGCAGTGAGGTGCGGACTTTTGAGTCTACACAAGCAAGTTTTCCAGTGAGTAATCGGTTAATGAAATATGCTCACATAATACCCCCTAGGGGTAAATTATTTCCATTATATTTCCTTTACAGCCTGTTGAAAAGTGGCTACGACGGCTTTTCAAGACCTCGCCTGCAGAGGCGGCTGTGTAGGCAAAAGCTGTATCAAGGTAAGTTTCCCCTATATTTAATCTTTCACCTTAGTTGTACCATTTCTCAACAACTTCAATATCTTCCACTGCATAGGCCTTATAGAAAGGCTTGGCATGGAGTGACTTCCA